TCTATTATGATTATTGGTAAGTTTTTACCCTATTTTGGAAGGCTCCTTGAGAACATAAATTGCCTCCATTCATTTTTACATTCTTCAGGCGCTATCACAGGGCTTTGCACATTCTAAGTGATGAATAAAGTCATAAATATAAAACTCAGAATAAAAAATAAAATCATAAAAAATATGAAAAAAATGTGCATCACTGAATTAGAGATCATCTAATTCTTAGAGACCAGAGATCTTAAGACCAATTTACATAAAAGCAAGAAAAAGAATAGGTTTACTTCATAAAAATTAAACATTTATAATTCAAAAACATGATAGCATTATAGGCAGAAATAAAAGGCAAACAAACTAGGAAATAATTTCAGCCCATACAACAAACCATTTTAATAGAAAAAAATGTTTAACAGAGAATCCCTACATGGAAACAACACTTTATAAACAACAAAAATAGTAAAAAAAAAAACAAAAACAAAAAACTAGACTTTTTTAAAACCACTAAATGACCAACTTAAGTTACAAAATTCATGATCTCAATTTTCTATAATACGAATATAAAAGAGAACACCATAAGATAGAAAAATAAAAAGACTTAATGGCTTCAGATTTTGGTTATTTTTGAGACAGAGGCGTTTGTGTTCCTACTGGCTTTCTGATATAACTAAAAATGAAATTTACTACAATGAAACTTTTACCAAACTGGGGTCAAACCAATGATGACCTAATCATATCCTCAATGGCCTTTTCTTCTTGAGGAAGATACTCAGCCAACACCATATGAAAGTATGAACTATCTATGTTGAGTGATGTCTACACTAAGTATACTTGAAAGCCATGAATAACTATCATAGTTCAAAGTTAGATAAAGAGGATGGTAAGCTTAATTAGATAAATTACCATAGCAGTTTTGTCTCCAGATTTTAATGGTCAGGAGTTGAACTCCAGGTAGAAGAAATTTCTCCTGAAATAATGCACAAGGACCCTGCTTCTGAGAGACAAGGCTTCCCCCCAAGGCAGCACAAAGTGGGGTGAGTCACTAGTAGGGCTTTTGTGCTCCACATGCAGAAACTGACTCGTGAAAATTGGCAGAAAAGTCCTGTCTGACAGGAGAAATTAAAGATTCTCAGGCTTGAACATTGCTGGTGGCATTATAAACCAGTATGCTACTTGGCAGTGTATATCAAGAGTCACATAAACTTTCAAATCCTTTGGCAGAGAAATTTCACTTCTAGGAGTCTGCCAGAAGGATCCTTACTAGTACTACCATTACTAAATTACAGTTCAATCACATGATTCCGCCTTTTTAAAAAAAGAATATTCAGAAACAAAGTAAGTGCTTATATCAGAAGGCAAATAGAAAAAAATGCACTTTCTCAAATAGTAAACACCAAAAATACAATTACTCTGAGATCCCAATTTTGTTTTTTTAATATTAAAAACATGAGAACCATGTGCTAAAAGATTGAGAACACGACAACAATGTCCACTCTCACCACTCCTATTCAGCACAGCACTGAAGATCCTGATCGTTGCAATAAACAGGAAAAAGAAATTAAAAGCATGAAGATAAAAAAAAGTAAAGATTTTATCTATTTGCTGACAACTTAAAGAACTAGTGAGTAAAATTTAGCAATGTGCAGGACACAAAGTCACTATCAAGATCAATGATATTTTTACATCTTAGCAGCAAATTTAAAAAATGTTGAAAAACATAAAATACATGCAAGACCTGCACAATGGAAACTAAAAAACATTGTAGAGAAAAATGAAAGAACATCTAAATAAATAGAACATAATAAGTTCATAATCAAAAAGTCTTAATAAATATTAGGAAAACATCACCTGACCCTACTACCTACAAACTCAATGTAATCCCAATTACAAGTCCACCAGATTTGTTTTGTTTTGTTTTCTAATGAAAATTAACGAGTTCATTCTAAAATTTGTAAGAAAATGAAACTCATCTAGAATATTCAGTAATATTTAAAAAGAACAAAGTTAAATTACATACTATCTGATTTGAAAATTTATCATAAAGTTACAGTAATCAAGACAGTGTAGTATTGACAAACAGATCAATGAAACAGAACAGGGAGCCAAAAGAGACCCACACTTCAATTGTCATTTTCAACAGCCACCAAAGCAATGGACAAAGGCAAGATTTGAGCCCTGGCTGGTGTGGCTCAGTGGACTGATTGCGAGCCTGAGAACCAAAGGGTCATTGGGTCAATTCCCAGTCAGGGCGCATGCTTGCATTGTGGGCCAGGTCCCCAGTAGGAGGCGGACGAGATGCAACTACACATTGATGTTTCTCTCCCTCTCTTTCTCTTTCCCTTCCTCTCTCTCTAAAAATAAATAAGTAAAATCTTTTAAAAAAAAAACAAAAGGCAAGATATGTTGTTTTCAAACATGGTGCTGGAATAACTAAATGTTCATAATGAAGAAAAAAACGAATTGACTCATACTACAATTCATACACAAAATGTACTTGCATGACTTAAGGTAGACAAAGGTTTCTTACATAGGTCTTAGATAGCAATAATTACAAAAAACTGATAAATTAGACCATCAAAATTAAAAACTTCTGTTCATATAAAGACACCAACAAGGAAATAAAGAGGTAAGCCACAAACTAGGACAAAATACTCTTGAAACATACATTCAAAAAGGACTGGTGTCCAGAGTGTATTTTAAAAATTCCTACAATCATTCCTGGCCAGGTAGCTCAGTTGGTTAGAGCATCATCCCGATTTGCCAAGGCTGTGGGTCTGATCCGTGGTCAGGGCACATTCAGGAAACAACCAATGAATGCATCAATAAGTAAAACAACAAATCAATGTTCCTCTCTCTCTCTCAAACCAACTTTTAAAAATCCCACAACTCAATAATAAAAAGAAAAACAACTCAATTAGAAAATGGCTAAATGATATGAACAGACAGTTCACAAACGGCTACCAAGCACATAAGAAAGTGCTCAATGTCATCAGGGAAATGCAAATAAAAACCCACAAAAAAAATACTACTACACACACAATAGGATGGCTAAAATTAAAAAGACTAACATCAAATGATGGCAAAGATAGAACCTGGAACTCTTAAGCATTACTGATGAAAAGTGTGAAATAGCACAACCACATGGAAATAAAGTCTACAAGTTTCTAAGAAATCTAATCATTTACCTACTGTATGACCCAACAAATCCTAAGTATTCTTCCAAGATAAATGGGAAAAAAAAATCAATAACAACAAAAACACTGTACAAGAATGTTCATAGCAGCTTTACTCATAATAGTATAAAAGCAGAAGTAGGCAAATTTCCTTTACAAGGGGAATACACTGTGGCATAATGATACAAATAGAATATTACTCAGCAATAAAAAGGAACAAGCTATTAATATTTGTTACAACATGAATAAAAATCTCCAAACATTATACTAAAGAACGCTTACACAAAAGAGTACAACTGTTTGTTACTGTTTATAAGAAATTCTAGTTTAAGTGAACTAATCTTCAGCAGAGAAAAATAGGAACATGTAGTTAGCTCTTAGAGTCTGGGTCAGAGATTGTCTGGGAAAAGGTACAAGGGGGCATTTTAAGATGATGGATTACACAAATAAAAGTATTTATTTACTAAAACTTTATGTGAATTTTACCTCAAAAGAAAAAAAAAAAAACTGCCCTGACTGGTGTGGCTCCATTGATTGGGCGTTGTCTCACAAACTGAAAGGTCGCCGGTTCGATTCCCAGCCAGGGCACATGCCTGGATCACAGGTTCAGCCCCCAGTAGAAGCATGTACAAGAGGCAACCAATCAATGTTTCTCTCTCACATTGACGTTTCTCTCCCTCTCTTTCTCCTCCCCTTCTCTAAAAATAAATAAATACATATTTTTTTAAAGAAAAAAAACCTGTTAAGATTGCTATTATTCTACTTAATAATATGCACGCCGAACTATTAGTTGCAAGTATATTGATGTCTGTAACTTTCTTTTAAAATACATAAAAGAATAATTTGAACTTGATGGGCAAGTAGATGGATAGGTAAGTGGAAAAACAGTATAGTAAAATACTAATGATGAAATCTACATTTGGGTATATAGGAATTCATTGTAAAAGATTTTTTTTTCAACTTTTGTATATGTTTAAAATTCATAATAATGTTGGGAGAAAAACAAGTACCAGTGTTGTGATATTGATAAAATATTATTTTTACTTGTTTTGTTCTATTTTCTAAGTTCTCTATAATGTGCTATACAGCCTACAATTTTTTAACATTTTTAAAAGGAAACCAATTACATTGATCAAATAATTAAATATCAATTATTTCAAAACAAATTTAAAATTTCACTTTAGAATCAATGGAAGTTAAAGTAGTCACCATTTTAAACTTCATCATTACTTAACTCATTAAAAGCCTTACACTAGTTATGTAGCAAGTCATTCTTTTTGAACTAATTAAAATTTGTTGAACTAATCAATGTGGAATTAATAGTTTTTTCTTTTAATGCTTATATGACTGTTCTCTTAGATTCAAACCCACTCCCCCCATATCCTTCTGGGTTAACGTATGCTCTTCAGAAGTACATCATTTCTTAGACTCTGTAATAACTGAGCAGGGCAATATTTCCTAAGAAATTTGAGAGTAGGTTGTTTACTTTCCAAAGGGCTTTATCTTTAGATAAGCATGAGCTTTAAGCCAGGTGCTAGTCATTTGTGTCTTGTTAATTTCCAAAACAAACAGAGGAGAGTGCCATGCAATTTCCATTACTCACACTTCACCATTAGTACCAGGGTTTATTGGCTTGACACTGCTCCAGGAATAATGGCTTCATTCCTCACTGAAATAAAATAATGTGCCACATAACACAGCAACGCGGAACTTCTGAAAAATGTTGTCATGTTAAACATGGTCATATATTTAAAGTTTCCCTTATGCCAAAACACAGGCCATTTGCTGTAGAGAATGTACACTGGGCATGGAGAATTCTCACATGGGCCTCAGACTTACCTCGTCGCTATGTCATACGATTCCGGGTGAATACAAGTTTGGTCCAAAGGATCTGGCTTCAGTACAACATTCGCTGTGGTTTTGCTCTTCTTCTTGCCCTGCTTCTCGTTTGTGACCTCAGCACCTGCTGGAGACGTCATGGCAACTCCCTGATTTGGGCCTCCAGAATCAGTTTGTTGACTAGTGTAAGCATTTGAACCAAGAGGTCGGGGGAGGGATGGTAAGGTTGGGTAGAAAAGAAAAGATTCTTTCATTAAAAATGTGCTTATTTTTCTGCCATACACAAACAGTAACTAGATTCTAACCATTCACTTCACAGAAATTACCACATACTTGTTTAAACACTGTTAATTGGATTTTTGTTACTTAAAGCCAAAAACATTCTTAACTGATTCATTCAGCCTGTATAACTGGCATTCTAGAAGAAAAATGAGAAAAATGGAGGGAAATAAATAAGAAGGAGGGAAAGGGGAAGGAAAAGATGATTTCCCAAAGCACAAGAAAAAGACTCATATTTGACACAGTGTGGAGAAACTTTAGAATATGGTTTTATAAATCAACAGAAAAAATAAAACATACTTCTTTGAAAGGAACCAGAATCTGATGGCATCATTTCTCTTTGACACACAGTAAGATGCCAGAACACAATGGTGCACTGTAAGTTTTAAGAGAAAATGATTTTGAATCTAGAGTCATATACCTAGCCAAACTAGCATTTAAATAGGAGAGCAAGTTAAAATCTTTTTCAGACATGTAAAGAATAAAGTGCAACCCATACGGTATACCCTCTCTGAAAAGAATTTCATAAGGATATCTACTCCAGCAAAAAGGAGTTCAAGAAAAATGATAATGTGTGCTACAAGAAATGATAAGCACAGAAACCATAAAAACTTAAGTTAAATAATTTCTCATGAATAATGTAAAAAAAGATATATATTTTTTAAAAAAAGGTCTGAAACTAAAATCCCAGATTATCTCCTCATGGGATACAGAGGAAAGGCAGAGGGTTGGGAAGGGACCTAAGGTTCTAGTCTTCTTCTGGAGGAGGACAGAGACACCAGAAGTCAGTCCAAATTAACTTTAAATCTCCAGAAGAATAAAAGCTATACAACATGAAATCACTAAGGGGAGATAAAAATAAGGTGGAAGAACAAGAAGAGAAGCAAGGAAGAAACTGATAAATCCCATGAAGAACACGAAAGGAAAAGAATGAGAAAGCATGATGAAGAGAAAATATACAAGATGGGAAATTAAGTCCAAACATATCGTGAATACAATAAATTTGAATATATTAACAAGTGATTGAACAAAATCATGAAATCTGTTTGTTTACAAGAGTCATGGAAATTAACTAAATGCCATAGAAAGTTCAAAATAAAAATACACCAAGCATATTCTGAAAAGGCAAACATACCAACATTGATAGTAAACAAAATAGATTTCAAAGCAAAAAATATTCCATTAGATAGCAATAATCCGTTCTGAATAAAGCTATGATCTATCAAGAAGATACAGCAGTCATGAATCTTTGAGTACTTCATAATCAGTTCCAAAAATAGGAAGTTTTAAAACAAATTGTCTTCCAACTGAACATTGATTAAATCATGGATCATCCATAAATTAAATGCTATCCAGACATTATAAAAAATGATATAAATCTATATATTATATTCAGAAAGAGATACAAGATATATTAAAGAAAGTTTCATGTAGCTGTATAGAATGATCCTTTCTGTATGCATTTTAAAATAATAAACACATATATACAAACTAGTGTAAGTAAAAATTTATTTTTAGAAAGCGATACACAAGGTCTATCCACAAAAAGTCCAGCCGTTGTTAATATTATGAGAATGGTTTGTGCCACATGGATGTAACACGACAGCCAAGGAGGGTGGGCTGGAATGAGCAGGGTGAATAATGACGACTTCACTGTACTAGTCCGTGGGGGCTGTAGGTGTTGTTGAGTGAGCATGTGTACAGGCTGGCTGTTGCATTCAAAATGAATGAGCAAATAGAGCAACAGATCTGCATTACGTTTTGTGTTAAGCTTGAACAGTCCTCTGCTGAAACTATATGGATGATTCAAGAGGCCACAGCTATGGGCAACTGGTGATTGGCAGCTTCATCATGACAAACACGCCTGCTCATGCATCATGTCTCGTGCATAATTTTTCGGAGAAGCATCAAATCACCCACATGACTCAGCCCCCCCTACAGCCCAGATTTGGCATCCTGTGGCTTCTGGCTTTTCTCAAAACTCAAATCACCTTCGAAACGGAAGAGATTTCAGACTGTCGTTGAGATTCAGGGAAATACAGTGGGGCAGCTGATGGCAACTGGGAGAACTGTGTGAGGTCCCAAGGTGCCTGCTTTGAAGGGGACTGAGGCGTCATTGTCCAATGTACAATGTTTCTTGTATCCTGTGTCTTCAATAAATGTCTCTATTTTTCATATCACATGGCTGGATACTAGCTGGACAGATCTTGTATAAACTATTTTGAAGAGGTTGAGGTGCCCTTTACTTTTCATTTTCTTCTTTTTTTACTGTCTGAATTTTATAACCAAGTGTTCGAAAACATAAAAACAAAGAAATATGTCATTATTTTATCCTTTTTTTCCCCCCATTTCTGGCTTCTGGGTTTTGTGGTATACTTAGAAAGAACTTCCACCACTTCAATATTCTGCATAATTTACTCTGGTATTTGTACAGTTTTACTTTTTCCATTTATGTCTATGATCCAAGTGGAATTTAGGTGGGTATAAGGTATGAGGTGGAATTATAGCTTTCCCTACACATACAAAATTCCTGCCAGTTGTCATAAAACCACTTATCTGATAATAATTGTAGCCACTACTTGAAACATCACCTTTATTCTGTTCTATTACTCCATCAAAACCAAACTGTTTAATTACTATACCTTTATAATATAATGTACTGCCCAGTGAGGCTGGTTTTCCCTTAGTCTTTTCCAAAATAAAGATTTTTTGTCCATATTACCTTTATTATAATTTTGCCAAAAGAAGAAAAAATACACATAAATGAACCAGGTAGTCACAATGTAGTATATACATAAAAGCTATTCTTTCACAAATGATACTAAGAAGTATATCCAATTTCTTTGCTTCTGTGCTAATAGAATTAAAAGGGAAAAATTAGTTCTTAATCAACAGAACTGATAATCAATGCTTCGGTCAGTTTTCAGTGGTGAGGGAATGTGGAAGCCCAACCATGCATAGGCGAACAGCCGTCAATATGAACTGGCCATTGTTAAGTCCCATTTGTCACTCTCCTTGTACCCCTCCTTCCTACTTAGGGCGCTACAGTCACATTGGCCTGTGTTTTGCTTTCTGAGTACACCAATGTTAGGCCTGCCTTAAGACCTTGCACACATCCTGTTTACGTTTCTGTGTGGGGCTGGCTCCTTAATTTTATTCAAAATTGGCTCAAGTAACTTTTCAATGAATAACATATTAAGCAGTTATACTGCTCCCCAAGATAGTGTCACATCTCTCTGTTTTCATTTTTATAACACTTATTACAGCTGAAACTATTTATTTTACTGGTTTATTTATTGTCTGTCTCACACATTAAAATTTAACTCCATAAAAACAGGGAATTCGTTGATTTGTTCACTGCTGTATTCCCAATGCCTAGCAAACATCAGGTAGTCAACACACGTTGAGTGAAGAAGTGAATTTAGGATTTATGCCAATGAGTTGGATGGGTAACGGTAAGAAAGGAGGATAACAGAACCAAAAGTGTATACTTTAACAATCACCTGCAAAATTTTCGAATATAATCCTGGTTAATTCTGATGAATCCAGCACACTGTTGGAAAGATTTTGGACCCAGCCCTTTCACTTTCTTCAGCTGTTCTCGGTTGATGAATGGCCCATTTTTCTCTCGCCAATCAATAATATTCTTGGCTCGGTTGGCATTGAGTCCTGCAATATGCCTAAAAAATAAACAAAATGAGAAATGTGGCAGATATAATATTTCCGAGAGTACTGAAAGGAAAAGCTCTCCTCTGAAAAGACAATGATGTAAAACATTTGTATCATAAAAAATTGCTATTACATATTGTCATATGTCTCTAAGTTAAACGTATGAAAAAGGGAATTAAATTGAAAGGTAAAGGGAAAAAGAGTTGTCCAAGGAGTGAAGGACAACAGAATGCAAAACAATGATAAAACCAGTAAAACCACAGAGATGCTGGTACCCTGGTTACCACTGGTACAAGGAGATGGGCTGTTCCCCATAGTATTTCTACTTTGTTCACATCCTTTATATTTCTGAATCAAGTAGTAATTCTGCCATTTCCTTTTCAGCTTACAAGGTGAGTTAGAAGCAGAAGTTACAATAGCTACATTTGCATTTACTACCAAAAACTTGAACTATAGAAAAATGCTTATCCATGAATGTCATGGTTAGTATAAAAATATGAAAACAATATAATTAGGTAGTTTTGCCTGTTGTTAATTAAAATATTACTATTCAAGAGAATTTTAATCTGATTATAATTCCACAATTTCATATGTGGAATTATGAGTGCTTGTAACTATGGTAGAAAAGCAACACTTTAAAATATAAGGGATATTTTCTGCTATATGCATTTCAAAGGAATTCGGATCTTTTCCAGAGGAGATTTTTTGTTGCATCAGCAGATTTGTGTAGTAAATGCAAACTATGAACAAAAAAGCAGCTCTTCATAACCCTAGGAAGAAAAAGACAAAGTATATAAGATGAGATTATATAGAATGATCATTTTGATATGTGAATTGAAGAATAAAAGTAAAAATGTGGTAACTATACCTTGAACCCTCAGAATTTATCCTTTGGCTACTGCCAGCTTTACAGATGTATATAAAAGATGAAACTAGTGAAAAATATCCACTCTTACATGGTGGGAAACAGTTCTTTGTCGTGTTAACCTTATTTAAATTCTATTAGTGACACTAATGCACTCAATGGTAACCAAACACTCTTCGCTTTAGATTTGCAGTATTAAAAATGATAATGGGAATTGTTACGATTATTTTCTTAAATGATGTCTTCCCTTCTGACTGGTTACCTAGACCAAGGTATGAACTCATAGATTTTTCTTTACTTAACAATTTTACACACGTGCCCACCTTGTTTCACTGTAACTGGATAGTCAGTTAAACTCAAGATTCTGTGATTTTCAACCACAGATTTCTGGTCTTACCTTAACAAAACTTCTGAGCAAATGTTAATATCCACTCCCACAAAGCTGACACATTCTTCTACAACACTGTCCAGTGTTGCCTTGAGTAAAGTTGGGGATACATCGTGCTTAAAAGACAAAAATCAAGCATCAATCAAAATTAAAAACATAAACTTCTTGGACTATTCCATTATTTTCCCTCTATAGCTGGCTGACACACAGCATAGTAAATTTCATCATTTCTTTTGAACACACTGTTAATAGACATAATTAAGCTGAACTTAAGGAATCTGTGTTTTCTTACTCTCTAAATTACTCACACACCTCACTCTAATATAACAGATCGAGTGTTTTTCTCTCTTCCAAAATTCTGCTTAGAGCAGTGGTTCTCAAACTTTAGCTTGCCATCAAAATCACCTGCAGGGCTTCTTGAAACACAGATTGTTGGGTCCCCACATCCAGAGTATAGGATTGAGTAGGTCTGGGGTGTGGCCTAGGAACCTGCATTCCAAAAGACTCCCCTGTAATGTTGTTGCTGCTGGTTCCAGGAGCATATTTTGATACATACTGGTCTCTACCGTTTACTCAGTGCCTTGTAGTGTTATCTTCACTTGCATATGTATTCCCTTAGTTCTTTTTAAGAGAAGAAAGCTTACATTGTAATAGGAAGCAGTACACTAATAGTCAATGAGTTTGACAGTAAATCAAACTGAAGACACTACTACTTAGATGAAGCACCATTACTTTATGTACCACTAAGAAAATACACTGCTAATTAACAAACATACAATGCTTTCTCATTAATTTGAATTTTTATTTTTAAATATAAAAAGATCCCTTTTAAAGTTTTAAAATAATGTATTTAAATAATGTAATGCATGCAAAGATAAACAAGAAAATATAAACAATCTAAGCTGGTTAAGGTTTTCTTCACATTCAGCATTCAACTGTTCTGAATCACTTCTTTTCTCAGTCACAGATGTCCAAGTTTTTCAATAGAATATTCTTTTACATTAGCAAAAGACATGTAGCATTTCTTAGAGGAGAAATACGAGGTCTGTCCAGCTAGTATCCAGCCATGTGATATGAAAAATAGAGATGTTTATTGAAGACACAGGATACAAGAAACATTGTACATTGGACAATGACGCCTCAGTCCCCTTCAAAGCAGGCACCTTGGGACCTCACACAGTTCTCCCAGTTGCCATCAGCTGCCCCACTGTATTTCCCTGAATCTCAACGACAGTCTAAAATCTCTTCCGTTTCGAAGGTGATTTGAGTTTTGAGAAAAGCCAGAAGCCACAGGATGCCAAATCTGGGCTGTAGGGGGGGCTGAGTCATGTGGGTGATTTGATGCTTCTCCGAAAAATTATGCACGAGACATGATGCATGAGCAGGCGTGTTTGTCATGATGAAGCTGCCAATCACCAGTTGCCCATAGTTGCAGCCTTCTTAGTCATCTGAGTAGTTTCAGCAAAGGAATGTTCAAACTTAATGCAAAATCTGATTCAGATTCGTTGCTCTAATGGCTAAGACACTTTGAATGCAATGGACACAGAATACACACGCTCACTCAAGGGTGTCCACAGCCCCCACTGCATAGTACAGTGAAGTGATAATTGTTTACCCCTGCTCATTCCAGCCCAGTCTCTTTGGCTGCCAGGTTACATCAATGTTGCTCAAACCATTCTTGTTATATTAACAATGGCTGGACTTTTTCTGGACAGACCTCGTATTCTATATAGTCTCTGAGACTTTCTTTCAAGCTGTAGATGTTCATTCTGTAAACTTTGGTAGCAGTCCCATCTTAATTTAAAAGAAATTATCAAGAGAAGAGATCTGGGACAGCAACAAAAATCCTATTCTTACCTTAAAGTTTCTTAAATGTTTTATCGTTAAATGGTTTATTAACTACAACAGTGACGTTCAAGTCACATCTCCAGGATTAACAGTCAAGTGCACACAGAAAATACACCCATAGGGCCAACAGCAACAGTAGGACAGCACTGAATGCAAGATGCATCCTGAGTTCAGAGATGTTAAAATGCAAGAAAATGTGCACCTTGGAAGTGATGAAATGCAGTATTTGAAAGTAAGTATTTGTTGGCTGATTGAAGCCAGATTACCACAACTAATAGTTCATAATGCACTTGATGCTTTCACAACTTAAAACTAAAGATCTTCTAGTTGTTTTCCCAGATATGAGCCCGAAGGTCAGCATCCTTCTCTTTTCCATATGTCTTAAGGAAGGAAGGATAGATATGACAACGTTAAACTCTTAGGAAGACAATATAGTAAATAGGGCCCCCAGGTATTGTGATTGATTACATTATTTTCACTTAGTAACAGCAGAAGCTTTTGTTCTGAAGACTGAAGGGTACAGTAGCACTTCTTATTTCAGAGAAAACCTACTTGGTAACTATCCAGGCCACAGCTATTGTATTTAAATGTAATTTTAAAAATCTAATAAGCAAATATGATCATGAAAAAGATCATAAAGGAAAACCTAAGACCTCACTAAGAATCTGATCACTCTTGAGCTACAGCTTTTAAGAAGCATGATAACCTAGACCTGAATGGTATTATGGCTCAGGTGATTGGTCATTGCTCTGCACAACTATAGGTTGTTGGTTTGATTCCTGGTCAGGGTACATGCCTGGGTTGCAGGTTGAGTCCCAGTTAGGGCCCATACAATAGGTAACTGATCAATGTTTGATTCTCTCTCACATCAATGTTCTTCTCTCTTTCTCCTTCCCTTTCCCTCTCTCTAAAAATAAATAAATTTTTTTTTAAAGAAGCAGGATAGTCTTTTTTTTTTAACGTAAATAGAGAAGCAGCAAAATGAAAAGAGGACTTAAGAAAAAAGCGAGGGTAAGGGACAGATAACAATGTAAAAGCAAGGACAATGATAGCAACAAGAAAAACTATCTGAGGAAAGAGACCAAACCCTAAACAAACAGGAAAAACTAAGTAATAGTTGGAAGCCATCAGAATAAAGACAAACAACTCCACATACTTCAAAGCATATGAGATGCTTGAGGTAGCCACATGAGCAGCAGTCCATTTGCAGACATTTTGCTTGTCTATTCTACCTCTTGCCTCTAACCCGCTTTTCTCTTTCCAAACAGAAGCCCAACGGTGTTTCATGCATCTACCCTACCTCTGTGAGGCCGTATGCTTGGGGAAAGCTGGCCCCAGCTCCAGCAGATGATAATGACTGGTTAAAACCAGTGGTTTTCAAATTGAGGGTTGTGACCAATTAGTGGGTCATAAAGTTAATTTGGTGGCTTGCCACCAGCCAAAAAAAAAAAAAGGAAAAAAAAAGAAAAAAAAAAGCCCAAGAAAGAAATAGAATAGACCACATAGAGCATGTTATATATGTCCTTAACATAGAATGAACAGTGCAGTAAGTAATGCAGCCAATTGAGACCAGGAACATGTGTTTTGTTCACTGATATCTCATTTGATTTTCTGAAAAGTGATGGTTATTTTGGCCACTGACTGACAGAGAGATTGAAAAGTAACTTTTCAGAGTTATGAAGAAAAGTATCAAAAAATGCTATGAGAAGGGTATCATCTTTCGGCAAAATGCTGATTCTTTTAACCAAGTTTAATTACAAACTTTCAGTGTATTTTGCAGAAAGAACATTGTTGAGCATAACATTTTTCAATTTATTAGCAATTGTAATATTTTAACTGAGTTAGTACAACTTGTCCTTAAAGTGTATCAGTTTAAACACAGAAGAAAACAAAATAATGAAGCAAGCTAAACTACCAGATTTGGAAATGTTAATAACAGACAGAACTGAAGGAAAATGTTGCCTCCGATCAACAATCTTAAACTTGACTTGAGTCACATTTTAAATAGAAAAAAAAACCCAATCAGTCTTTAAAATAAGTATGACATTAAAAAGGATTTTACAATACAAAAACAATAAAAATGACACACCCCAGATGTATTCCTGGTAATACTGTTTTACCAGATAGCAGCCTAAAACCTTCAAAATTTAAAAAAAAAAACAAAAAAACAACAAAACACCTGGAACACCCATACTAGAATGGCTAAAATGAAAAAGATGAAGAATACCAAGTACTGGTAAGAATGTAAAGAAATTGGAATGCTCAACATATCAAGATGTTAAATGAATTTTAGGTCAGATTTCCAAGCTGGTTCATTGGAGGATTTATTTTGTACGGTTTAAATATAACTTATAAAACAGTCAGATATATTTACATAATCTACAAATGCATTCTTACTCAATATAAATTAAATTAGATAAAATGCAGAAGAATAAAAAAAATGAACAAACTCCTAGAAATACAGAAAGTGTCAAAACTGACTCAAGAATATCTGAAAAGACCAAAAATAAGTAAAGAGATTCAATCAGTAATCAAAAATCTCCCAAAAAAGAAAAGTCTGGGATGACAGACCTTCACTGATGAATTCTACCAAACATTGAAAGAATTAACACTAAGTCTTCTCAAACTCTTCCAGAAAATAAAAGAGAAAGAACCACTTACTAAGTCACTCTATGAGGCCAGTATAACCCAAATATCAAAGCCAAGCAAAGATACCACTGGGGGGGAAAAAACCCACATACAAAAACTACAAACCAATATACCTTATGAATATAGGTGCAAAAATCCTCAACAAAATACTAGCAAACCAAATCCAGCAGCATGTATTTTAAAAATTCAACATCATGACATACATACTATGCATTTAGTGTATGCGAACTCAAGAAGCAGATACATGTTTTCTCCCATTGAAAAACAATCTCTTGACATTTTTAAACTTTTAATTTTGCAATTTCCTCAAAAAAAAACTTTTAATAGTGAAAGAATTTCCTCATTCATATAAATACTTCAGTGTGCATTTACAAGTACCAAGGGCGTTGTCTTACATACCATTCTTTGTATAATAGTTAAAATCAGAAAAATTATCATTGATGTAATAATATTACCCAATGCACAACCCATACTCAAATATTATCAGTTGTCTCAATTCTACTATATAGCATTTCCTTCCCAGTGCGGAATTCAATTCAAGATCATACATTGCATTTACTTATCTTTTTATACTCTGTGCTAGGCAGCTGTCAAGGTGGTTCCCAACGATCCCCAATTC